CTCCATCTGTGTACTATATTTTTAAAAATGATAAAAACTAAACAGCCTACAGTATTTTTACAGTCTTCATTTAACAGTTAAAATATGTTTATCAAATAAAGACTAATGTTACAACTAATCGGGGATCCCTTTAAGAGGACAGGAAATTTAGCCCAGGTTAGTGGAGCTGTAAACCCAGGCCTCATCTCTGAAGTGTTGGACAGGAACACGAGGCTCAGCAGGAGAGCAGAGTAACACCAGAGAGCGAGCAGGTGAGTCCTACGTTTTGCCTCCGATCCCAAACAGCTCCCTTTAGGCTCGTGAGACAAAAATCAGACATCACTCTGTGTGCTGATTATGAATGGAGCTCTGCTTTAAACATGACGTGAATTTGTTAAAAAATATGCTGTGTGCMCATGACTCTGTGAAAGAGGATTTATTTAGAACCTGAAGAACTGGGAGGAATCCTCCAACACGCTTTATTAAAAAACATGAAACATGACTGTTAAACACAGTTACATCCTGTCAGGATTTCACAACATATTAAAGTCAGAAGCAGAATCTGGCTGCTTCAGTCCTGAGTTACAGTTGGAAAGAAACAACGTGAGCTGGAGGTTTTTACCTAAACTATAAAATARAAGTTTGTATGATTCAAGCGATGGTCAGAACAGCTCTCTCTCGTTTCCTCCTCTTCTTCTTCTTCTCCTGCAGTCGGCCCGTGGCGTCGGCRAAGAACGTCACGTCCTCTTTGCTCTCAATCTCCCGCTGGAGGAACTTCAGGGCGGCGCTGTTGAAGCCCATCACATCCTGAAACCAAGAAAACAGACAGAAAACCCTCAGAGAAACACGGCCTGGACACATCAGTCTGCTGTCCTTTCCAGACGKTACTCACTCGGATCTGGCAGACTCTGGAGAGCGTGTTGGTCCGCAGCTCATCGATGACCGACAGCAGCATCTGGTTACTGGTGATCTGACCAAAGTGGATCCTGAAAACAGACGATTAAATCAGATAATTGCTGCTTAAATCTTTTTTTTTTTTGGTTTGGGTAAAGATGTACAACAGATGATGGAAATGATGCAAACAGATTTAGTAAAAATAAAAACCTGGTTTAAAACTTAATAAATTGTCATTAACTTTGGATAAAACTAATTATAACTGTTGATGTCAGAGTTGATGGTTTTGAGATCTGTAGAGTCAGTGAAGTTTTTGGGTGTCATTATTGATGAAAAGCTAACATGGAAATCCCACATAAATCATTTAAAAACAAAAATAGCCAAATAGCCAGTATTATACAAAGTAAGGGACTTATTTAATGATAAAGCACTGTTTATATTATATAATAAAAAATTGTTCCACACTTGATTTACTGTGTTG